CTGTTGGACTTTGGGGCAAGAACATCATGGATCATCCAACTGCAAAACAGAATATAAATCAAATGAGGTTTGGGGTAGAAAGGGAAATGCTTTATTCTCTAGGGATAAAAGGGGCCTTACTGTTGTCTTATTTAGGGGAGAAAAGGTGTTAGGGATCAGTGCTGATCAGTGTTGTGACTGTGCGGTGCTGTGACAGCTCCTGGGAGGACGTTGGCTCTGCAGGACACAAGGAGACTGATGTGGAGCAGGAGTGGGAGTCGGTGCCTCTGGGCTGTGAGGAGATCCTGGAGAACATCCGTAACAAGAACACAGAGGAGAGCAGTCAGGTATTGACACCGCCAGGGAGGGGAGATCGCTGGGTTTATTGGAGACCAAAGAGGGTACTGGTCCTTTGGAGCTGAGTGATGCTGTGGGGAAAAGGGGATGGGATAGGATAGGATAGGATAGGATAGGATAGTTCCAGTTGAAAGGGACCTACAACAATCATCTAGTCCAACCACCTGACCAGTTCTGGGCTGACCAAACGTCAAAACATACTATTGCATAGTGCAAATACCTCTTAAACACTGACAGGTGTGGACCACCCCTGTAGGAAACCTGTTCCAATGTTTGACCACCCTTTTAGTAAAGAAATGCTTCCTAATATCTAGTCTGAACCTCCTCTGATGCAGCTTTGAGCCGTGGTTATGAAGAGGATGGGTATGGAAGTTAATGCAGCACAGCAGGGGCGTTGGTAGGGGCAGTGGTGTGGAGGAGCACAAGGGATTTGGGGACTGGGGATCAGTGGAGAGTATGGCTTCTGGGATGGTGTATGGAGGTACTGGTGCTTCGGTGGACTTCACAGACCAGGGAGGAGCACAGAGTTAGTTATTCACTGCCTGGGGTAAGGCAGATCGTAGGGGTACTCTGACCTTGGGTTCTTGTGCACAGGGATATTTCTGCCACTCCCTGGGTGTTGGTCTCGCGCAGTGCACAGAGGTGACAGTGCTGGGGAGAGGCAGAAATATCACAAGGTGCTGCAGGCGTTTGGGTTTATAGGTGATCCCATGCTCTGGGGTTTATTGATGCTGTACAATAAAAACCACTTTCCTGTCTGAGCTTGAGGTCAATTCAGTTAAATTCTGTTTATTTGCAACTGAACTCCGCAACTGTGCCACCGTCTTCACACGGATTAATGTGATTAGGCTTTTTCTGTGCAAGATGCATCCTTAAACCTCTGAGTACTCCAGGCTCTGTTGAACCACAAAGGCTTACTGCTATAGAGATGTGGTGAAAAACACTAATAAAACGGGTCTGCCTCTACAGTTCTTGTTTTGGATATGGTTTGAACAAACCTCTGGAATGCCATTCCAGAGGATTAAGCAGAGATTAACCCAGTTAAGGAAGTTATTCCAATGCCCTTAGTTAATATGATATGATCATTATGTATTGTTAATATTTCTTAAATGCAAAAACATTTTTTTAAACCAAAGGCTTGACCCATCTTGTACTGAAATCAGTGCAAGTATTTCCATTGGCTTTGATCAGTTTTGAAATTGTCTCGCCGTTAGACAATCCCATTTGTCTTTCCTGCTGTGTGAAATTAATGTATATCTTCTTCGTACATCTCAAAAAGCACAAATCTCCTGGATCCCCACTCAGTATATCCTTTCATTCAAACTGTGAACCATTCCTAGGTCCTCTCTGGCTCTCATAGCCCAGGCAATTTTGCTCCTTTTTAACATTTGTGCTCTGCCAGGCTCGGCTGTTCTCTGCAAACTGTGTAAGATAACTGCTTTGAAAGAACCGGAGACCTCTGACCAACTTGCTGTGAAGTTAATCAAACACAACCAGCTTGAAAACACTGTATATACTCATCAAACTTCATCTTTCCCCTGTCTTTCCCTCAAGTCTCTTTTGCACTGGTATTTATTATGCCTGCCACCTGCTCCCATACTGCGTTTTTTATTGTTCCTAGGAGAAGGATATTAGGTATTTTTTTATTGGCATCATGTGTCAATAGCTTCTCCTCTCTGGGTAGTGAACCAGCAGTTTCCTTATATGTATTTAAAGCTTGATTTCTTGTTAACCTCCTCTCGCATCTCTTGCTGGTTGAATGTTTTCAGATCAGCTGAGCTTGATGAATTGCATCTCAGGATATGTGAAGAACAAGCTGGAGCAATCTCTGGAATGTTATTTTGGGCAACCGGTCCAAAGATAACGACTATTGCAGAAGAAAAGTGGGGCCCTGGCTAAGCAGCAAAACAATTGGTGCTGTGCACAGTACACCAGCTGCTTTTTAATGCGTGCTAAGCAAGCTGCTGCAGCCACCTCAGTATCACGTCGTAGATTAACTGTGATCAGAGTTACTCTAGACTCTTGAAGAAGCAGGATTAGCTGTTAATCCTGATAGGGGTGGGGAATTCAGGGTGAAGACAGGAAGCACAGGGGGTTTTTTGGAGAACAGACAGCTAAACTGTGTTGGTAAACCAAGTCTCTTCTCAAAAGGCCTGTAAAGAGCTTGCAGTCAAATTTTAGGCTAGCTGCGTGTTACAGGCACGATGCTTCTAGATTTTTGAATGCTGCTGGCTCCTCTGATGCATCCCATGAAATTCAAGGCCACCTAATAAGTAAATGCACCGAGTGCCAGCATGTGCAGCATGCCTTTGAGGAATCCAAGGAAAACACATGCTCTAAGTGACACTGCGCAGTCCTGACTTCACTAAAGAATTTATCCTGTGAACACACACCATGGAGGTTGGACTTGGGGTTGCCTCCCTCCCCTCATGGACGGTGGTTGTGGGTAGCGAGGGAGGGCTGGCGGGCTGGTATATCGTGTGAAAGTTAGAATTTTTGCCTGATGGTACCTGTCTTTGCAGCCCTGTCTACACATCGTGCTCGAGCGTCAAGTGCAATTCAGGCAGGTTTATGGCGTGCGCAGCTGGGGATATGACTTCTGCCAGATGCGTTGTGAGCCCCATTTTTGGCACAGAAGGAACACAAGAAGGTCCAGAGGCACAACTGTCTCTTTGGGCTACAAGTTGTTACCACTCCAGCTCATGGAGGTGCTTTGGGAACCCAGTTGCGTCTGCGTAGGGAAACTAGAGCATGAATCCGGGGTTGGGAGTGTGCTGCAGTGACAAGTGATGCTTTTGTGACTGATGTGGAAGGTTGTCCCTGAAAAACAGGACATGGTTGCCTGAACCTGTTTTTTTGGCAGTGGAGCTGTTTCCTTAGCTTGTAATGTTGTATTTCTGTGCATTGAAAAGGGCAGGGGCCTTGCAGGAGAACAAAACGAAACAAAAACAACCCAGTAAGTGATCCCATCATAACGCATATCCCAAATGCACCTACTCAGTTGCACAAGAAGCTTCTAACATTGGCCAACTCCAGAATGTGAGGCTTTGAAACCATAGTAAGTCTTTTAGCTTTCAGTGGCTTCTATGTGGGAAGTTAAAATTGCAGAGTGCAGACAATAAGTTATTTAAAGATCTCTATTAAAAAAAGTAGAAAGAACTCAGACTCTTGTAATTAACTTATTTCCTAACTGTGGACCATCACGAGATACAAAGAGAAAGATATAACAGATTTTTTATTTTTTTCTTTATACTTGTTTGATTCTATAATATCTTAAGAGAGAAAGGGAGGAAAAACTAATCAAAAAGGTGATGTGCCCAGACAGATCCTGCAGTGGGTTCTGAAGCCTAATCTTCCATTGATACAGACTGGAATTTTATCTGGGTAAGGAATGGGGGACTGGGCTTTCATGAGGATATGTCTTGTGAGCCTCAGAGCTGTATTAGCTGGAAGGGTCCACTTGCTGGGTGGTTTGGAGGTGCTTGGGTTCAGGGTAGGCTGGCAACACAATACTGGAGCTACTCAGTGGAATTGCCTTCTCTTTTGTTCCAAAAGTCCTATTATTCACCTTCCCACTGTGGAGCTTTAAAGCAATCTGAAGTGTTTACGGAAAAATTGCTTAAGAACTATAGGCAGGGAACTGAGATATTTTTTTAATGTGGTAAAGAAATGACTTGGTTTTCAGGCTACTGACGCTTAAGCCTCCAGTCTGGAAATTGTATGCCTGAGGTGAGCAATGACA